GGAGACGGCCTCCCGCTCTTTGGCCCGGAGGCGCGGCGCTTGCAGGCGCGCCTCGCCTGACGCCCCCTCGCCCGCTCCGGCCCGGCTGTCGTCGCGTCCGACCTCACCCTCCGTCCCTGCGGCTCCACCCCTGCGGCTCAGGCGGAGCGCGAGCGCGAGCTTGAGCTCGAGAGGGAGCGCGAGCGCGAGAAGAAGGAGCAGCGCAAGGCGCAGAGGGCCGAGGCGGCGCAGCGCTCGAGCGCCGGCCGCGTCGCCGTCACAGCGGTCTGAGCGCGCCCGCAACTTGTTGTCAGGCGGCCGCCGAGGCGAAGCGCGACGAGGAGGCGGAGAAGGCGAGGCGCGCTGCGGCGGCGGCGACGGAGGGCGCGGAGCAGCGCGAGCGAAAGCTCAGGGAGGAGGAGATTTTGCGGGCAGTGGCGGAGAGGAGCAAGCTGAAGCGGAAAGGGCCGCCTCCCGGGCCGGCGCCCAAGCAAAAAAACAGCGCGGCGTCCAGCTCCGCCGAGCCGCCTCGTGTGTACTGGGAGCGAATGGCGGTCGCTCGAACGGCTGACGCGATCCGACAGAACTTCCAGGCAGAGAGCGGAATCGAGTTGCCGCCGATCGACGATGACGCGGCTCAGCCCCGCCCACTTCCGCCCGCCGTTTTGCCACCGCCGCAGCCCGCCGCGCTACCTCACGCTATCCCGTTGCCGCAGCCGTCTGTGCCGCGCGCCGATCTGCCTTGTGCTGTCCCACTGCCGCCGCAATCCTCCGTGCCGCCCGCCGATCTGCCTTGCGCGGTCCCGCTGCCAGCGCAACAATCGGCCGAGATGGCACACGCCGCTGCATACTACCAACAAGCTGCGCAGTGGCAACATGCGCAGTGGCAGGTGGCTGTCCGGCCCTGACTCCACACGTGTAGCTCTGACTTCAATCTAGCCTCGCTCAGCCCTTTCCCCTACCTAACCGCGCCCTGACCGTCCACCGACGCGCTGCTTCGCTCTGCAGGCACATCATCAGGCGCAGCAGCAGGCGCAGCAGGTCCACCAAGCGCAGGCGGGATTCGCACAATCCCCGTCGACTCCTGGCTGCGGTCGCATCGCCACATGGCATCTCGTACCCGAAAAAATGGAGCAGCATGCGCACACGGCCGGGTTCGCGCCGCAGCCGCACCCTGCGTATTTGCCACCTCAGCCCGGCGCGGCGGCGTATCAGCAAGCTCTGACGCAGCGGGCTTTGGAGGTGCAGCAGCTGAGGCGGGTGAGCGAGGCGGCGCAGGCGGCGCAGGCGAGGGAGGCGCAGGCGATTGCTGCCGAGCCCTTGAATTGATGTGGCAATGCACGAGGCAAACTCCGCTCCTCTTCTCTAGGTGAAGAGGGAGGCCACGGCATGGGCGATGCAGCAGCTGGAGGAGCAGGCGCGTCGCGATAAGGCGCGCAGGGACGAGCAGATGCGCCAGGAGCAGGTGCGCAGGGAGGAGCTGGCGCGCCGGGAGCAGGCGCAACGGGAAGAGATGGCGCGACGGGAGGAGCAAGCGCGCAGGGAGGAGCTGGCGCGCAGGGAGGAGCTGGCGCGCGAGGCGTTTGCGAGGGATGCGGTCCAGGCGAAGAGGGAGGCAGCAGCGCGGGAGGCAGTTCGGATCCTCGTGCCGACGTTCCAGCAGATGCCGTTGCCCTAAGCCGGACCCCGGTCCCGCTCTAGGCGCAGGCGCAGTTCCACCACCAGGCGCAGCTCTTCCAGCAGTACGAGAGCGCGCGCAGCGAGCAGCAGGGGCGGGCCGCGCAGCTGCAGGCGAGGACAGTGCAGCAGATGCAGCAGGCGCACGATGCCGCGTTGCAGGGCATCATGCTCCCCACCGCGGGACCGGCACCGGTGCGGCCGTTTCCCGCAGCACCGAGCCCCTCGTCGGCAGCGGCGGTGGCGCTGGGGCTGCAGCGGGAGCAGCTCCAGGCGCAGACACAGGCGAACGCCGCCGTTGCTGGCCTACGCTTTGGGGCGATGCCGGCCATTTCGGGGCTGGCCCAAGGACTGGTCACCCCGCAATCTTTTTTCCCACCGGCGGCGGGAATCGGCCTCGTCGGGAACACGGGCCTCTGTCTTGAAGAGCAAGCGCCCGCAGAGACGCGCGCAGACCTAGGGATAGACTAGTACACTGCTGCGCTCAACTTGTGTGCACCAACCCTTGCATGTGAGAAACTAAATCTAAAATTTCGCTCCGAGTTGCCGCGCGAGACGATGGCCGATCGATATTTATTTGGACGCACGCACGGGGAGATTCTCGTGGACACGTGCGTCAGCGGTCAGGCGTCACGTCTCTCGACTCTCGCGTCACACCATACCATACGTCACGCGCGCGCACTCGCTCGCTCGCTGGGCGGTGCCACTGCCGCCAGGCGCGCCCGCACTGAATTCGCCGTGACTTCAGATCGCAACAAACAAAACATATTTGCAATGCTCTTGTGCTCAACGATCTCTCCGTTGCGTATTCAAGAATAATCAGCTACGATTGATTCCGTTGCTTTTTTCTCTGTCTCGACTCATCACATGCTTTCCCCGTGCTTGCATTACAATAGCGGGTTACAGATGGGCATACAAAAACTCCTAGCGATGCATTTACTGGCCTTTGATCACCGCTTCGACTTGAACATGATAAGGGCACATCTCCATCATGCGTTCCAATAGTTCTCTGACGCAATTCAAAACAAAAAACATACCTTTTTATGTTTGTCCGTACGTTCTATGTCGCGGCTTCAAAGACTAATGTTTCAAGTACTTTCAATATGTTTCCGCTATCTGTTTTATTCATATTGTCATCCTTTCGATGCTTCGCTGGTTCGTTCGTTGGTTCATGTGCTCGGTTGCTCACTCACTCCTTTGTTCGCTTACTGGCTCGCTCACTCTTTGCCCGGTACTTGGTGTGCTAGTACATTATTTCGCGCGTTCGATCTTTTCGTTTCTTTCTTTGTTCGTTCGTTCCTTCGATCGTTTGTTCACGCATTCGGTCGCGCATCCCATTCTCTGCTTGACTTGCCTGGCCTCACGACGCTTGGCCTGCAGTGAGGCACCGAAAAAAGGGCGTGCCAGAAATGATACTTGGACGCCCTCATGCGTTGCCCTTCGACGTGGCGATGAGGATCAACGAAATGGCCTGGAGAACGATGATGATGCTGAGGCAGATCATGTTCTTCCGGCCCTTGTTCTCGCCGAAGAGGACGACACCCCACATTGCGGCAATGACTCCGGGGATTCCGACGATGATCGGGAAGGCGATGACGTACGAGAGGACCGCGTTGGCCTTGAACCAGCAGACCTGTGCGATGCCCCACAAGATCCCCGCAATGAGGCCCGGCAGCACGACGTCTTTGCCAATGTAGCAGCTCGGCGCGGCGAGCTTGAAGACGACGAAGGCAACAATGGTGAGCAGAAGCACGCCTGTGAAGTGGGAGATGACGTAATCCAAAGAGTCTTGGGAGTGACACGTGCTTTTGTCTGCAATGGTGGGGTCATCCGCGCAAGCTTTTCCCTGCTGCTGCAAGACCGTGGGAGGGTCGAAATTGGAGCCGAAGAGAACGCCGGCGCCAAGGGCGACCACGAAACCGATGAGGAATTGACTCGAGGAGCCCTGCGTCGTCGGCTCCTCGCCGGTGATGTTCACTTCCTCGGGCTTCGGCGCGTCCCCACTCATCTGCGTGAAAACGCAGAGAGCGAGGATTTGCGACCAGGACACCAATGTAGTTTTCCGCTTTGTGCTCGACGGGTGCTTTGTCAACGCCAAAAAGGCCGAACATGCCTGTGGCCCACCCGGTTAACATGTTCGTCGCGCCCCAAACAAGCTGTCCGACCCCAAGGCCGAGGCGCTGGACAATGATGGGCACGAACAAGTTGCCGGTCGCCCAGATCACGCCCCCCAACATTGCGATGGGCTCGAACTTGTAAAGGCCAAAGGCGAGCCACTGGATGAAGCCCACCAAGAAGATCCCGCACGCCACCATGAGGCTGAAGAATTGCCCATCCCTTGTGTCGCACTTCTTCACGGGCAGGTAGTTGGAACCGAAGCCGAGGCAGGCAACCACCGTGCAAATCCAGGCGATCGCTAAGTCATTGCTGCCATCGGGGGTCGAAGTTGTAGTAGCGATGGCGGCGGCCGTAGTTGTAGTGGTGCTTGATGCCAGCACCGCCACGTTCTCTGACACGACGAGGAAATCCATCGCTTTGGCCGACTGCGAAGAGCGAGTTGTCCAAGCGGCGATCAAACACGCGGCGTACTTCAGATTTTGTTTCGTAATTCAGTGCAATTTCTCTTTCGGTTGACGCCCCGCGGTGCGGCCCGGTGAAACGGATCACGGCTCTTTACGTACTACGAGAGCCTTACAAACGCCACGCCCCGTTTCAGGGTCGCCTCGGCGCCATCGTCGCTGCCGCCACCCACCGTGCGTTCGCCACACGCGCCGCGAGGTAGGTACCGCAGCGCCTCAGGGCCCAAGTCCACTTTCGGCTTGTTGAAGTCGTTTGCGGGCTGGCCCGTGCAATTGCGGCGCGTCATGAGCAGCGGCTCCTCGGGTTGGTGCTTGGCGCGCGCGTTCGCCAGCATCGCGTCCACGTGCGGGTTGCGCTCCTCGCCGCAGTACGAGTACTGCCCGCGGAAGAGCCGCTCGACGACGCGCCGCTGGAAGCGCGCCGCGGCGGCCTCGTCGTCAAAGCCGCACGGCGAGAAGCGCAGCAGCGAGCGCACGTCGAGCTCAACAACTGCGCGCCGGCCGCCGGAGGCGTTGCCGAGCCTCGGCCGGAGGAAGCGCGCTGCGGCGTCGAACGAGGTGCCGTGGGGGAGGACGAGGTCGCCCTCGACGCTGCCACCCGCAGCGCCGCCGCCTCCGTCGCTCGGCGGAAGGAGGTGCAGCCTCCGCGCCTCGAGGCCCCGCACCTCGCCCTCCTCTGCCAGCTGGATGGGGCCCGCCGCCGCTCCGTCCTCCGCCCCGGCCTGGTTCCAGTCCTCGAGGTTGAAGAGCGTGTCGTACGGCGCCTCGTACGGCATCGGCAGCGGGTTGCCCGGCAGCCGGCAGTCCTTGAGGTGCCACCAGTGCCGCTCGCACAGCGCCCAGAGCCTCGGCCGCACCAGCTGCCACCCGAGCGCCGAAGCGAGTGCGAGCGCGTTGCGCAGCACGGACCGCTGCACGTACTGCATGGCGACGTGCGGAGCCGCCGGGTCGGGCGCGCGCGCATAGTCAAAGGCGGGCGGCGCCTCGGCCCGGCCGCCCAGGACGAGGTGGCGAGGGTGGTAGCAGCGGGATGCGCTGCCCGCGCCGCCCTCCAGGGCAAAGAAGGCGGACGGCTGGTCGGGCAAGTGGCCTCGCTCCCGCTCCGCGTCGGTGGGGGGAGGGTCGCACTCCCACACCTTTGGGGGCAGCCGCATGCGATCCAGCAGCGAGAGCAGCAACGCATCGAGGCCGGTCACCCGCACAAAGCCGGCGCCGCCGGCGAAATTGCCTGCCGCGCTGCCGGCCGCATGCGCCCCCGTGCGCGACGCTGCCTGGCGCGAGAGCAACGCAAGCGCGGTCAGAGGGAGGTCTGGAGGTCTACGCGGGCGCGGGTGCAGCGCCTGCCACAGCCCCGCGGCGCGCAGCCTCGACCGCTTGCCTTCCCCACCGCCCATAGTGTACGTCACGTGCACGTGCAGAGGCGGCACAGCCCGCTGCTCGTGCAGCCGGTACACAAAGTAGGTTGGGCCCTGCAGGAAGCGGTCGGCCGGCAGGAGGCCGAACCGCACGCGCCCGCCCCACATCCAGTAGACGCGCCGCGCAGGCAAGCGCGGCTTGCGCCCCGCGCAGCAGAGCAGCCGCTGCTCCGCCTCGCACCGCCGCCACGCCTCGCTCTGCCGCGGCAGTTCCACCGCCTGCAAGCCCGTGT